CGCAAGGTTGTAATTTCCCCTCTGAGTTTGTTTGGAGAAATACTGCCCCCACTGCCACATCACTGGCCTCCACTTGAATCACAAATGGTGCATCCATGTCTAGGTGTTTCAAAACAGGCTCAGTTGTGAAAAGTCGCTTTAATTTCTCGAAAGCTGCTTTTCCCTCCATAGTCAAGTTCAGAGGCTTACCGGCTTAGGTTTAGCCTCTCTCTTTGATTTTAGGAGATTTGTAATTGGCAATGCGATGCTAGCGAACGAGGGGGAAAATTGGCAACAAAAATTTCCAAATCCCAAAAAAGGTTGTAGTTGCTTGCGAGTGCAAGGAGCTGCCCGCACAGTGACGGCCTGGATTTTTGCCGGTTCCATTTCGATACCATTGTAGGAGATACGGTATCCTAAATAATCAATCTCCTGGTGAAATTCACATTTAGACAATTTGGCATAAAGTTCAGTGGCCCGGAGTTGTTTGGGGACTGAGCGCACCAAAGTCACGTGTTCCTCACATGTTTCCGTGTAGATAAGAACGTCATCAAGGTAAACTAACACACCCTTGTAGAGGTCCTCATGCAAAACTTCATTTATTAATTGCATGAAAACTGCTGGCGCCCCCTCCAGTCCAAACGGGAGTACTCTAAACTGGAAACATCTCAAAGAGCAGTTGAAACAGTTTTCCACTCATCTCCGTCTTTCATTCTGATCCTGAAGTAGGCTTCCCTTAGGTCCAACTTTGTGAAAATTTTCCCTTTGCCCAACTGGGCTAACATGTCCTTCATGAGTGGCAAAGGGTAGACGTTTTTTCACGCAAATGGCATTAAGATTTTTATAGTTAACTCATAAATGAAAAGCGCCATCTTCCTTTTCTCTGAACAATACAGGTGCAGCCACCCATGGTCTAGCTGGTTGTGTGAACCCCCCTTTTAAATTTTTGTCAATGAATTTCTGTAATTCCTCCATTTCACCTGGGGTCATTGAGTAAATTTGAGGCTTAGGGAACTTTTCCCCCACAAGAATCTCAATGCTGCAGTTCATGGTCCGGTGGGGGGGCGGGGTAGTTTATCAGAAGCCCTTTCACTGAAAACCTCACTGAGGTCCCAATATTCTTTGTGGATTTTTTCTTCCCTCTCAATTTGTTCTTGCACAGCTGCAGCTAGGTTTGATTTGGCCTTGGCTATGTGGGAGATCCTCCCCTTCCCCTCTGGGGGTTTAGCGGAATGGATGTGTAACCACCCTTTCCTCCAGTTCATGTATGGTTCTGGACTGGATTATTGTAACGCGCTCTACATGGGGCTGCCCTTGAAAAGTGTTCGAAGACTTCAGTTAGTCCAGAACGCAGCCGCGCGAGTGATTGTGGGTGCAACCAGGTACACCCACATCACACCTATCCTCTGCGAGCTGCACTGGCTACCCATTAGTCTCCGGATCCGCTTCAAGGTGCTGGTCACTACCTATAAAGCCCTACATGGCAACGGACCTGGGTACCTGAGAGACCGCCTCCTGCCGATAACCTCCCATAGACCGATTAGATCTCACAGGTTAGGTCTCCTCCGGATTCCATCCGCCAGCCAATGTCGGCTGGTGACTCCCTGGGAGAGAGCCTTCTCTGTTGCATCTCCAGCCCTCTGGAATGAAGTCCTGGCTGCTCCAGCAGGCCGGGGGGCTTGTGAAACATCCAGCCCCATGGAAACTGTGAATGTTGCAGGTTTTTTTAAAGTGTTGTCTTTGTCTAGTTATTTCTCCTTCCCTTGTCTATTGTGAGCCACCCAGAGTCCTTCGGGAGTGGGCGGCATACAAGACAAATAAATACAAATACAAATTTCCATAGCAAGGGTAATCCCAGTATGAGGAGCCCATCCATCCCAGATGTAACAATTAAACTCAATATTTCTTGGTGATCCCCCATCCACATTTCTATTGTTTCCATTACAAAATGAGCAGGGGCTCCTCCAGCCACCGACTTATCCAATTGGCAAAAGGCAATGGGTACTTTCAAAATCCTCAGTCTTAACCCCATTTTCTCCACCACTTCTGGGCTAATTACACATCAGGTCCATCCAGAATCTAAGAGGGCCAGCATTTTCCCTTTGGCTCCAGGGCACTTTAAGTTCTACTAGAATGGTCATGGGGTCCAATCAGGGGTTTACCAAGTGGTCATCATCGGAATCAATTTCACTTTCTCCTGAAGGAAAGGAGGTTTCTTCCTCCTGGCTGGGAGGGAAATCCTCAACAGCTTCCATCCCTTTCAAGGCAGTTTCTTTTCATTTCTCTGTCTGGCTGTCTGGTTTCTTCTCTCCAGCAGCAATGGGTTTTGGGCCAATTTTTGAGTAGCAGCTTGCTGCTCGGGGCCCCTCCTTCCTGCATTGGAAACAAGCAGTAGATCAGGGCTTGCTTATAAACCATCCTTTTTCTCACCTCGGAGCTCCTTTGCGGAGGTGAGTGGGAGATTTTTGCCTTTATCACTGCCTCCCCTGTATTTTGACATCTGCTGCCATCTCATACAAGTGTTGCAGATTGTGTGAGGCCCATCTATTCACACAGCTCTGATATATATCTGTGTTCAGACCATCCATAAAATTGTCCATTAAAGCCTCCTCGAATCAACCCTGCAGACAACTCACGAAATTCTTGGATGTACTCAGCCACTGGACTTCTTCCCTGAGTCAGAGATTTCATCCTAGTTCTTGCCTTACTCTAGGCTATTCAATCATCAAAGTGCTTCCTTAGGGCAGCCATGAACACAGTTCCTCAGCAGGAAGGAGTCATCATTATGCAAAGCGACCATCTAGGCTGACACTTTGTTCTCCAATGCCATGGTAACAGCTCTCACCTTGGCTTCCTCATTAGGGAAATCCTCCTCATACTGTTGCATGTAATTCCAAACTGGGACCAGGAAAAATCCTAGCTCTTTGGGGTCTCCTCTGAATTTCACATAAAGGGGAGGAACTTTTGGCATTCAGCATCTGCGGGGGACCCCTCCCCACTGGAGGGACTCAGACAGCTGCTGCAGCTGGGGCTCTCCCATCCTGATCAGCTCTTCTGTCTTTCCCCAGAGTCCTCCAAGGGTTAGGCAGGTCCTCCACATGTTCCTCTTCTTGATCAGCAAAATCAGCTTCCCTCTCAGCACGGCTCTCATGGAAATGGTGTTTCTCCCATGGCTCTTGAAAAAGTTTCTTAGCATGGGACATCATGAGGTTCTCTTGTTCAGCTTCCTGCCAGGCAGTCTCAGGTCGCCAGCGTTGGCTGTTGGAAACTCCGGCCAGCATCTTCTCAGGATCACTCCTCTGCCCCGCTCCCAATGACCACCGGGGACAAGGGGATCTTTCTTCCAAGTTCAGTTCAGCCATCTGTTTCATTCCCAAGGGGCATGAGGATCCGACAGCCCCCATGTAGTCCTCCTGGTCACTGCCTGGATTGGACATTTCTTAGGTGGGTTTTTGTTTTAAGTGCACTCCCCACAGAAGATGTTAGCTCATGGTTGAGCACGAAGTGAGATCTTGCTTAATGTCAGGCGTGTCTCCTTCAGTAATCAAGAAAGAAAACTCCCAATTCCATTGTTTGTGGAATTAAAATTTTTACTGGTTATGAAAAGATAGCAGCGAAAGTAAAGGAAGATCTGAGTCAGAAAGGTGTGAACACATACATATCAAACAATTACCCAACCCCCACCCTACAATGACCCCCACCCCAGTGTCCAAGCTGCAACTCCCTAAGGTGTCATGTGGGTTGCATCTCCAGACAGCATCATCACATTGGTATGCAGGACAGTTGGCCTTGACCAGTTCCAAACACTGACCATCAGCATGCGCAGAAGATGGTGAGAAGAAAACTCCCTTTGCCATATCACCTCCAGTACCATTTATTCCCATCCCAAATTTCATTCCCCCACCCTCCCCATGTCTATGGCAGCCGATATCAAGTAAGCGAAGCAAAGGCTGACATTAACAGAGTTGGATGTTGTAGGTCATCTAGTCCAACCTCCCCCACAGCAAGAGATCCTATATCATTTCAGACAAATGACAGTCCAATCTCTTCCTGAAAGCCTCCAGTGATGAAGCTTCCACAACTTCTGAAGGCTGCTGTTCTATTGGTTGATTGATTTCACTGTCAGAAAATTTCTCTTTATTTCTAGATTGAATAACTTCTTGGTCAGTTTTCTTGTCTGGCTTTCAGGTGCCTTGGAAAATAACGTGACCCATTCATCTCTGTGACAGCCTCTCAAATATTGGAACACTGCTATCATGTCTCCCTTGGTCCTTCTCTTCACTAAACTAGCCATGCCCAGTTACTGTAACCGTTCTTCATATGCTTTAGTCAGAGTTGGTATTCAGCCGCTTCTGACTGGTTCTGGTGAAGCCATAGCAGAAATTTTGAATATTTTGAGCTCCGGCAAATACTACCTCTTACTGGCCTCACCCCTGATCTATTTGCTGTCTCCCAGCCTCTTAGGTCCCAGCTGATTGTCAGTGTATTGTTGCCTCCCAGCTGCTCACTAGGTCTTCTTTTGTTGCCCTGCTCATCAGAATGGAGCTAGAAAGCAGGTTAGTGGGGTTGGGAGGGAATGGGGAATTTGCAGTAACCTTCCCAAGGAGTGGGGAAGGAATGGAGATTTTGCAGTATCCTTCCCCTTGAGTGGGGGTGGGAATAGGCATTTTACAGTATCCTATCCCCACAAGTGGGGTGGAGGTGAGGATTTTGGAGTATCCTTCCCAGGAGTGGAGTGGGAATGGGGATCTTGCAGTATCCTTCCATGTTTACCAAGCCACACCAAGCAATGTTCACCAAGCCACACTCACAGATTCGGTAGTAAAAAAAAAATTGAATTCCACCATTGGTTTCAGTCCCCAGTCCCTTAATCATATTGGTTGTACTTCTCTGCACTTTTTCTAGAGGCTCAACATCTTTTTTATAGTGTGGTGACCAAAACTGGATGCAGTATTCTAGGTTGGTCTTACTAAGGCTTTATAGAGTGGTATTAGCAGAGAAGGAGCCAATGTCACGACGATATGGTTGTGCAGTTTCAATGCTCTGAGACCACAGCCAACACTTTTGCCACTGGTGGTCTAAATGGACCTAAACCATTCCGAAAAGACAGTGAACAGGAAGAATACATCTTGCTGATCTGGGGGATACTGCAAAATCCCTGAAAAAAGTAAGAGAAGTTCTTCAAGCCAGCAACAAAAAATCCAGCCAATGCTGACAAAGTCAGGGTGGCTCCAAAATGAAAGGATACGGAAAGAAAAATTGTTTCCAGCTGGTGAGGAATTTTTATTGTTTTAAAAAAGAGACTGCCTATAAAAACTCAAAAATCAATTTAAATTTAAGAATAGAAGAATCAAGTGGTGGAATTAAATTTGGAATGGTTTTGGACAGTGGTTATCTTACTTTTTAAATGTTATTTTCACTGATCGAATCTATGCAAACCTTTTGAAACAGATGGATTAAGTTTTCTTCTTCTACCTTCCCCTTGTGACTCGCTGTAATTTACCATACAAAGTAGATCAAGAAGATGATTAGAGGATTGGTACAAAAAATGGCAGAAGATATGAAATTGTTTTGTTATTGGAAAGATACAGGTTGATAGAAGAAACATAACATAAAACTAGTTAAACTTAGTGAAANAAACTAGTTGACTATTTGGAAGAGCTGAATGAAGAGGAATTTGAGAAATTTAAGATGCACCTGGAGGACTACCCAGTAGAGAAGGGCTACAAGCCTATTTGCCGCTCCAAGACTGAGAAAGCTTCCCACATTGAAATAGCCCGATACATGATTGAGGCATTTGATGATACCAAGGCCGTGAAGATGACCGTCAGCATTGTAGACAGAATAAATAAAAAGGATCTGGCAGCAAGAATCCGAAAGGAGATGCCGGAATGTATGTAGGAAAAGCCCAACTGGCTACTCTTAAGCTTAATTCCTTTGTTGGCTCCTATTCCTCTTTCGCATTGGCTTTCTAATAATATTTCTCTCCAAATCAATGTGAGAACAGTCTTTACATGTTGTCACTTTGGGGTGTAAAGCAAGCATATCAGACAGGTAGAGGAAAAGGGAAGTAAATGTGAAGTAGTGAATGTAGCATTTAGTAGTAGTATTGTGATATTCGTCTGTTTTTTGCAGCTCAAATCCCACCTCTTGTTTTGGCTGAGTTGCTAATCTTGCAAACCAAAACAACTACAGGTGTTTTATGATTTAGTAGTTATCCCCTTTGTTTTAGCTGAGACATCTGCCTCCTTAGAAATCCTTTTACATTTTTATTTTTGAACTTGGTATTTTGATGAAAAATTCTATTGGCCAATTTTTCTCAATGCGTGATACTCAGGCACTCTATGGATTATTCAAGCATAGGCACATGTGATCATAGAAAACAAACTGAACATACTAAAAATAACATTAAGTGTTTTTATTTTTAAAACACTACATTATAATTACTTTAGTCTGTTTGCTTACTGGAAAACTGATGGCAAAAGAAGAGCTGGAATTCATTTCTTCTTTTTTGGACCCCATAGTTGCAGGAGATTCTACTAACTCTGCCCTTCCAGATGTGTTGTCCAAAACGATGGGAGTGGGAGATGTCTGGTTGGCAGGTGGGGGGATTGTTCTAGCGAATATTGCTTGTTGCTCATTTTATCAGTTGATGCTCATTGCATTAATTCTGTGCTAATGCATTTATTTCTTTAGCCCAGTGGTAGTCAACCTGGTCCCTACCGCCCACTAGTGGGCATTCCAGCTTTCCTGGTGAGCGGTAGGGGTTTTGTCCGATACTGAAGGACTTTTCTTTTTTTAATTTAATTGACTTTTTAAAAAAGTTTCATAGCATTATTTAAAAACATTTTCATTAGGTTTTCATAAAATTACCATTACTGTTCAATCGGTGGGCGGTTAGAACATTTTACTACTAACAGAGATACAAAAGTGGGTGGTAGGTATAAAAAGGTTGACTACCCCTGGTTTAGCCTATCAGATGGTTACAGAAGGAACAAAGGAAACCAAGTAGATTCATTTTCTTCATTTATTTTTAAATATAAGGACAACCATTTATTTCTGACAGATTTCCTTCCAAAACCATCCACCATGACCAAGAAAGAAAAAAAGGAACGAGAAAAGACAATACTGTCGAATCTACATGACAAGTTTTTTGGGATCCCAAAGAAAGGTTAGTTGCTGCTGAATGTATTAATGTGTTCCTAAATAAAAGTTTTGGGGCTGCTGCAGCAAGAAGGACAAAGAAGATTGATCTGAACGCTTGCCCCAGTTTGAATTGCTGTGCATCTACTTGCCCCTGCGTTAGCGCTTCCACTACCTGAGGCACCTCCCACTCCATTTAACAAATGCATTGGGGAGGGGAGAGGTAGGTGTTATTAGGCAAGGCAGTCATGTCAGTGCTTCACTTAATGGCCATCACAACCTGAGACTATAATGGACAAGCTCCATTATGGTCATAAGTCAAGGATTATCTCTATAGAAAATCAAATCAAGTTAAATTT